GGCTGAAGGAAATGTAAATTCACGTCTGTACAGTAGAGGGCGCCGCTCAAACTAATCACATGAAGAATATGACGCAGGAGAAGAAAGTTCAACACTATTCAGCAATAACACAAATAAAACACAAATGTGTAATTTTTGCTTAGTATGATTGTATTATTAAATGAGCCATTCCATTTCAGTTTATTTACTGTGAGGTTTGTGATTTTTGGTACTGAAACTTGGGATGTGTCAATACAATTTAAAAATTGATTTGTACTTTTCTATAAATAAACATGAATAATTTATGTATTAATTATTAATTTATTAGTTAATAATAATGTATTAATTTATTTATATAGTTGATACATTTTATATTCATAATTATAACATCATAAATTTATTATATTATAAATATACCCTCACCGGCCACTTTATTAGCTACACCTGTTCAATTGCTTGGTAACACAAATTGCTAATCAGCCAATCACATGGCAGCAACTCAATGCATTTAAGCATCTAGATGTGGTGAAGATGACTTGCTGAAGTTCAGACCGAGCATCAGAATGGGGAAGAAAGGAGATTTAAGTGACTTTGAACGTGGAATGGTTGTTGATGCCAGACGGGCTGGTCTGAGTATTTCAAAAACTGCTGATCTACTGGGATTTTCACGCACAACCATCTCTAGGGTTTACAGAGCATGGTCCGAAAAAGAGAAAATATCCAGTGAGCGGCAGTTGTGTGGACGAAAATGTCTTGTTGATGTCAGAGGTCAGAGGAGAATGGGCAGACTGGTTTTATATATTAATCTATAAATGTATAAATACATATATATATATATATATATATATATATAAATGATAATATATATTTAAATATTATAAATGTATATTAATATTTATTATTTATAAAAATAAATAAACATTTATATGAATAGATAGACAGACAGACAGATATATAGATAGACAGATAGATAGATTGATATTTATTTTATTATCCCAGAATTCACCAAACTAACTGGACTAATGTTGGTTTGTAGTTACTGATAAACATATATTAAAGAAAAATATAACAAATAAGGATTTTTTTTATCATTTTTGAACTTTATTTCTGCAGGATTCAATGTCACTTCCTAGATATGTCAAATTTAAGGGATGCAGCATTTTTTAAACAGTGGACACATTGTGCAGGACAAAACTGCACGCAAAAATATGGGCCCAAATTATGAAAAAAAAATGTTGCTTGTCAACACGTGAATATGTAACAAATAGAATGAGGGATTTGTGTCTGTGATGCTTTAGAAACGTCACCTGGTCCGGACACGGGCGGCTCGGGTTTGTGGGATCTGACCGGATCCAGTCGGTCCTTCTCCAGCTGCTTCCTGGTGCTGCGCTGCCGGGCCTCACGAAACATGGGCAGAGCGTGAGCTGCCAGAAACACAACAATCACATGAAGCGCACTAACACAGAGAACTACGCTCCTCACAGCAACCTGTTGAATAAAGTGCCCACATTTCACAGTCGCCACACACAACCCAAATAAAGTGTGTCTGTGGTGCTTGGGTGTATATGTGTGTATGTGTGTGTGTGTTTGACATGAGGCCACGCCCACAGATGGATGACCCCAGTGCTGTAAACAATCCGTGTGCCCCGTCACACACACACTGAGGTCATCCAGTAACAGCGACTCTAACGAATAAA